TCAGCGTATGCGATGTTGTGCAGTGGGGTGACCCCCATGGAGTCACACAACCACGTGTGCTCACTGCGGGTCCATTGCTGGACCAGTGGCTTCAGGTAATGATCAAGCACACGCGCAAATATCTCCGCCCCGTACGGGGATCCTTGGAGAATTCCCTGACTAAGCGGCTGCTGCCATGTCACCTCAGCAAAGTTCAGTTCTACCCTAGCATGGACAATGAGTTTAAGCAGGAGTTCAGCTTCTACACAAGGTGCCGCTTCTTGGAGGTATCGGGCGAGTGCCAGGTGTGAGATGGTATCAAAGGCCTGTGAGACGTCTAGCTTGGCTACAACTAGAGGTTGTGACCACTGATTCGCAAGATGGACAGCATGCTTTGCTGCCGTGACCCCGTCCATGACCTGACCCCCCCGAACACCAAGAATCTGGCCCCCTTGCCCCACCGGGGGGAGCACCCGCCTGAGCCGGAACAAGAGTATTTTTGTAAACAGTTTGTAATCCACCGGGGACAGGACAATGGGTCTGAGGTGCTTCGGTTGACTCGGTTCCCTTATTTTGGGCAGGAGCACAACACGAGCCACAAACCAGGCATCTGGGAGAGGTTGGTCTCGACTGAGCAACGCGTTGAATGTTCTTATCAATAGTCTACGTGCACCTGTCTGGGCAAGGATTTTGAGGAGTTCATAGGTTACCCCGTCCGTACCAGCACTCTTGCCTGATTTGAAGGTCGCCAGCATAGTGTCCAATTCCTCGTCATCTATAGGTCTAGGCCTTGGTTCAGGGCACTGTACCTTAGTCGCTCGAAGAATTGCCTCAGGAAGCATGGGGTCATGGGGGTTGGGGTCCGTGAACTTGCGATAGTAGAAGCATTTTAGTGCCGACACCGCCCTATCCCTACCCCCCATCCTAAATGCAAACAAACCATGAGCAACCTTGACCGATTGACGTTTCCGGAAATAGGTAATCGCCTTGTAGTCTCCTGCTGCAGCCCTCTCAAGGAGTTGCGTCTTCCACTCTCGTTTTGCAACAGCACGGGCCCTCACCACCTCCACAGCGAGTTCTTTCGCAGTCTGAGGATCAGCCTTACGACGCTGAGCTATCATGTCCTTGATCACCTGCGAGTCCCTGTACCGGCATGGGGTGGGCCTTTGGGAACACGCAGTCGCCAAGTCCGTCAGCTGTTGTGGGGTCAGGCGGGAATCCTTGTCCGGCAACTGTTGGGAGAGACGCTCACACGCATGTAGAGCCTTTGTAACATCCACGTCCCACGCTCCACACTTGGTTGGGAGCACTCTTCTGCGTGGGCGACAGGCAGGGCGAAGCGATGCAACGGTGGCCCAGCATGCCCGATGGTCCGCCTTTAGCAGCGAATCCGAATGCGTCGCCACCCCTTGGGCACACGTCTCCTGATACGGGGTGGCGTAAAGAATGTAGTCAATGCGACTATGAGCCCCCCTGGAATTCGACCATGTATGGGCGTGTGGAGTCGTATGAGTAAGACCGAACTCACGAATGAACTGTTGAATCTGGGCTCCCCGTGCATCTTGGGTTTCGGGTTGCACATGCATTAATTCGTAATTAAGGTCCATCGCCAAGAAGGCCGAGTCCTGGTGTCTGAACCCCTGCAAAAACTCCCTTAGGGTCACAAGTTGGTGGTGCCATACATGCATGCAGTCCTCTCTCTGAGTATGCGGCAAATGCAGCGATGCAACAAATTCCCTTGCACCTCCTCGACGTAGAGTCAGGAGAATTCCAGTTGCAAGCACTTGCACATTAATTACCTCTTTAAGCATGTCCAGTGGTATACCCACAGCTGATCCCCGAAAGGAATCAGGCGGCGAGCAACAAAAGAAAATAAAAGGTTTGCCAGCCAGGGTGCCCTCTTTAACACACCAACTATCCTGTGCCAAATCAGACAAACCCCCGACTTCTTGCAGTCCCACGTAGGTGACCTCCTCCAGGTCCAATAGGTCCCAAGCAGCTTGGACGGCATCCAGGGATTTGCCCTGGACATTCCGCCATTTTGGCTCAAGCCATTTTGGCTCAAGCCATTTTGGCTCAAGTTCAATGGAGATACCCTAAACCCTAAACCTTTCTGAGGATGCTGTATAACCCAACTTGTAGTTACCCCTTGGCCGTAAAACCTCCCCTATACCCTCTTCTTGTCTGGACTCCTCCCTGTCACATTGCTTTCGGTTCCCGTCGTGCTGCTGCTCTCGACTTCCTGCTCCTCTAGGGGGTCATGGCTGAGGCCTGGGGAGGGGAGGAACTCCGTCAGGCCGGAGTCCACACCAACCTGGCAGTGGGGGAGGATGGCATTGGTGGGGGGGGGGATGGGGCGGTGCCCGGTAGGGGAGGGGAGGCGGACAGTATGGAGGGAACAACTGTGCCCTGGAGGGGGGTATCTCTGACGCCTCGAACGCTCCCGGATCTGGGAAATGAGGAAGAAGATGACTGTGTTGAGGTCCTGTCGCCGGAACAAGCCGCCCTGCGTGCGGCTATGGGGGGGGATCTGCCCGTAAACACGCTGGCCAAAAAGGACCAGCCACCAGAGGCGAAACGGCCCAGGGTAGGCGGTGGTCTGCCGGACTTTGGGGGGGGAGGCGGGAGGGGCGGAGATATCCCACATCATGATCTGACGCGCCAGGATAGTGACCAGCTCTTGCCGACACCTAGGCCGGAGCACCTGCATCGCACAGGGGCACCCTTGTCTGTATACCCTCCTACCAGCTCTCCTCCTAGGCCCTCCCTCTTTGGCGCTTCTGAGGACGTTCCCCCCCCTTGGGTGCAGACTCTTCAACAGGGGATGCACGGCATGCTTTCTAAGCAAGACACTCTTCAGCACTCTGTGGGGAAGCTGAGTGGGGATATGGTCCAATTGGGCCAGGAGCTCCAACAACATTCCCAGCGGCTCGATGTCATGCAGGGCACGCTTCAGCACCATAATGTCTTGCATGAGCGTGCCATGGAGAAGATACAGGACCTGGAGACGCAAGTTGCGGACGCAGTCACTCAATCCCAGCTCAGGGACCTCGAATCCCAGGTCATGGAACTCAAGGAGTTGGAACAGCAGGTCAGGCGCCTGCAAGAACAGGTCAGGACTGCAGGCACCCCTCGGGGCGGTCTGACGCCAAGGGGATCGGGCTCCTCGAAGGACACGGAAATGGACCTTCAGATTGTAGTGGGGGGGTGGAAATCGGCCCCTAAACACCTAGCTGAGAAGGAAGCGCGGTCGCTGTTTCAGGTGTGCAAGATCAGGGATGCTGTGGAGTCCATGTGGACCCCCTTTGCTCGTACTAACTTCCTTCGGATCACCCTCAAGTTCCCCCCCGGAATTGATACTTTGCAGGCCCAGCGCTCCTTTCAAATGGATACCCTCAAGCTTCTGCGAAGGGATAAGTGGAAAAGTAATGTGCCGGGAAGCGAAGGCTCGGTTTTGTGGGTTGCCAGACACAGATCTCCGGAAGAACGGCATAAAATTCGGGCCATTCTTCAGACTAAGGAGTTTTGTGACAGGCTCCGCCCTTACAATCCGGCTGCGCCCCACCAGTCTTCTGAATTTGACTGGCGAGGCAATGTATACGTAGGCAGGTCCCAGCTCTTGCTCTCCCCTCTCTCTCCGGTGGGGGGGTTGGGACACCCGTCTGATGTACAGCTCACGGATGCACGTGGTGCGCACACTGGCTGGGCTGTGTCGGCAGTCAAGTTTGCCGAAGCGACGGGGTACTCCCCGGATCAGTTGCCGCAGCTCTGGTTGGAGCGTAGCACCACCCGTGAGTGACAACCAAGGAGTGTATCTCCTCCGCCAACTAAGGCTACAGCCCTCACTTGGAATGTCCAGGGCAAATCCCTGGATGCCGTCCAAGCTGCTTGGGACCTATTGGACCTGGAGGAGGTCACCTACGTGGGACTGCAAGAAGTCGGGGGTTTGTCTGATTTGGCACAGGATAGTTGGTGTGTTAAAGAGGGCACCCTGGCTGGCAAACCTTTTATTTTCTTTTGTTGCTCGCCGCCTGATTCCTTTCGGGGATCAGCTGTGGGTATACCACTGGACATGCTTAAAGAGGTAATTAACGTGCAAGTGCTTGCAACTGGAATTCTCCTGACTCTACGTCGAGGAGGTGCAAGGGAATTTGTTGCATCGCTGCATTTGCCGCATACTCAGAGAGAGGACTGCATGCCCCTAAACCCTAAATCCTTTAGGACTTATGTAGCATAGCTACAGGACTGCTTCTGGGGGGGGATATCGGATCCTTGTTGTGTTTACTAAGCTGTAGTCCGCAATTGAAGGGGAACTGGCCGCCTCTTTCTTGAGGCTAAGGCTCTAAGGATTCCAAGTTTGTAGTCGCAATTATCGTTGAAAGGGTATTGAGCTCCGTTGAGCCTAAGGGCTGTTTCGCGGCGGGAGTATCGCCGTATGTAGAGTATGGTGATAATCATGTATCTCTAGAGGGCTATGCGACAACGAAAAAAAACATACGCGCCAGACGCGCCGCCGGGCTGCCGCTGATCTCGCTCCGAAAGGATTTAGGAGTTCGGGGGGTCGCACGCTGCCCCTCTCTCTCTCTCAACATGCGCGATTAATGCCTACTAATACCCCCTAAACCAACCCCAAAAAAGGGGCTTGTTAAGGGCTTATATTCAATGGCCCATGCAGGTCTCTTGAATAAAGCGGGCAGGTCGCTATCTTCGGGCGTCTTTTGGGCTCCCACTATCTATCACACGGAGCCTTGCAATCCAGGGCTTTCGACTCGACAGCTTCCCCCAACCCGTATGGTTTAAACCCCTAAATGCTAAACCCACCCCCCTGAAACCCTTATTTGGAACCAGGGAACTGAAGTCCTTGCCTGGTGCGACGCAGAAGCTCAGCAAAGCCTCAACCCTTTTACTAAACCCTGAACCCTGAACCATTACACCCTAAGCCCCTGAAACCCTAAACCCCAAACCCCAAACCCTAAACCCTAAACCCTAAATCCTAACCCTAATCTTTACAGCCAAGAGGCGATGTTGGGCTTGAGCACGTGGAGTAAATCCACAAGGCACTCGAGCAAGCACGACAAGGTGACCGCTGGATTGGTCACTGCGTTTGCCACGCCTGCAGGGTTTAGGGTTTAGGGTTTAGGGTTTAGATTTTAGGGCCTAGGGTTTAGGGTCTAGGGTTTAGGGTTTAGGGTCTAGGGTTTACGCCGTAAACTTTACGGTCTAGGGTTTAGGGTTTTCGGGATTGGGGGGGAAGGGCGGGGAGCCCAAGGTCTATGAACAACAAAGCCTATGTAACCCAATACCCCAAACACTGAGCCCAAAACCCTATAAAGCCCTGCACCCCAAAGCCTGTCTTTTTGCCAGAGGAAACCCTAAACCCTAAACCCGAATCCCTGAACCCTGAAGCCTGAACCCTAAACGCCCTATAAGCCCAGCCGAGCAGCAGTCGGGAAGGAACTCAAAGACACAAGCCAGGTCCTGCAACAAAATGAGGACGCTAAACCCTAAACCCTAAACCCTAAGCCCTAAGCCCCAAGCCCTAAGCCCTAAACCCTAAAGGGGTCGACGGGAGAGGTTCATGGTACTTAGTAACCCATGCAATGATGACTATACTTAAACACCAAATAGTAACCCTATTGGGGTACTTACGGGGCTTACAAGTGGGTTCTAACTACACTTGGGTGGTTGTCAAAAGTGTAATCCGTTTTGGAGTACCCTTAATATTAGGTGCCAGAAAAAAGAGGGATCCAAAACGGACCATCATCAGACGCCCTATAAACCCTAAACCCTATGAACCCTGTAAACCCTATGAACGCTATCCCTATAAATTCTGTGAAACCCTAAACGCTAAAATCCAAACCTTACTTCTCCAATCGCCAAGCAATAAAATCGGTTACACTTTGTTATTCTTACTGTATAGAAGGAAACCAACAAGTTTAAAGCTCTACTATTGGCCAAGTAAGACAAGGCTGGCGGCCTTAAACCCTAAACGCGAACTACACCCAGAAGCCCTCTCTCTCTCTCTCACAGGCGCTCAGTCAATGTCAGGCCTGTCGTGGCATTACAGCCAGCTCAAGGCAGTGGCCCGCGACCACCGGACTTACAGGAAAAGTCAACTCAAATCGGCAGTGGCTCTTTGACCACCACGCACACAGACCGCTCTTGCATGGCTCTTCCTTGCACTTTGCCGACTTTGCCCCATCAGACTTCCTTGCACTTTGCCCATCAGCAACGCCGGACCCTGTCCCCATGAGAAGCAGGAACTGACTCCAGCAAACACAGAAGCCCTAAAACCCCAAACCCTAAACCCTAAACCCTAAAACCCAAAACCCTAAAACCCGAACCCTATGTAAACCCTAACCCTCTACGAGGCTGGCGGCCTCAATCCCATCTGCCAGGAAGTGGTTCGTGAGCGTTAGCTGCTCTTGCGGCCCGAGGTAACTCCAGCCTGCGCAGGGAAATCTCTCGAAACCCTCGTATCCCCTCAACTTCAACAGGGTTTAGGGTTTAGGTTTAGGGTTAAGGGTTTCGGGTTAGGGTACCCTAAGCTACAGGAGGGGCGTATGAGAGCAGGCAGCAGGAGAAGGGACCAGAAGTACGAGATGTGATCGTGGGCATGAACTGAACTTGGCTGACTTCTGAACCCCTCCTAAAGTCCTAAGGGCCAGCCAGAAGAAAGACAAGTGAAAGGAGCACCCTTCCCACTGCAGAACGAGGCGCTGATCTTCAACTGCTCGTACTCGGACATGTCTTCAATACCTTGGCAAGCTTTGTAATTCACCCAGCAACCATATTATGAAAAGGGCATCCCTTTTTGGGGTTGGTCACTTTACAAGGGAAGCTTGAACCAAACAAAGGGTTAAGGGTAACGCTGGGCTTCTTGGCAAGCAGTGCTGTGAAGGCGCAAGGAGGCGCTTCTGTTTCTGATAAGATTTCGGGGGGGGGGGGGGGGGGGTGAGAGCCCTGCCACTGTTCTTTGCTTCGGGACCCTTAACCCTAAACGCTAAACCCCACAGGCATTCATCGAACAGCTAAGCTGCGCATGAGACAGGCGAGCCGGACGAGCACCAGATCCTGCATTAGGGTTGAGGGTTTAGGGTTTGGGGTTGTGAAGCCTAGGGGTTTAGGGTGTCCGGTTTCGGGTTGCAAGGGGGGACCTGTGAAGCCTTCGGATCTTGGACCTTCGGATTCGGGAAGGGCTTCCATCCTCAAAACTCTCAAGCCCTAAACCCTAAACCCTAAACGCTAAACTCTAAACCCCTAGAAGGTGTAGGGTTTCATCGCTCGCGCTCGGACCATGAAGGCAAGGGTTTAGGGTCTTTCTGCTTGGTAGCCCAGTAATGAACCATATTGTAATAAGGGTACCCTTGTATAATTGAGGCTGGTTACCTTTTTATGAGGGAAGCCAGACCCCAGAAAGGCCAAAGGGTACCACTCAGCGACCAAGTTTGCCAGCTTGGTACACTTCTCGATTTGTGCGTCCACGATAACTTTGATTTGTGGGCCGCCCTTTCTTGATGTGCCTAGGTTAGGGTTTGAGGCGTAATCCCATCCCCTGAATATTATAGCCCCCCTACCCCCGAATGTTAAATACTCCCCTTAAAGGTATCTTATATTATATGGGGGGGGTCTTTAATATTCCCTACACCCTAAGCCCTAAACCCTTTCGAAAAGGGTTGGCTCTCCAGGCCCCCAAAAAGGAATGAGGGTTTCTTTGGCCGCCCGCTCAGCTGAACAATCACGTCCGGTAGAAAAACACCAGCTCGTCGGTTCAGGGTTTGGGGGAAGGGGGTCTTCACAAAAAGAAGGTTCCTGTGGGCAGGCTTTGGGGCGTACCCACCAAGGTGGCTGAGGGTTCATCACAGAAGTCCCTGTTTGAGTCCTCCGGCGTTTGCCTGGGCGCCTGGAGGGCATGAGCCCTGGCGATGAGGTAGCCTGGCGGCAGACCCTAAACCCTAAACCCTAAACCCTAAACCCTAAACCCTAAACCCTAAAACCTAAACCTTAAACCCTAAACCCTATTTCCAGGGTTTAGGGTTCAGGGTGTTGTTGGAATGGAAGAAGATCATGGGCTCTGACGACTCATAACTTACCCAATCCTACCCGACGTATATCCCCACGTAGAACAGCCCATGAACCTCAAGTAGGGTTTTGATGTTAGGGTGTGTAGGCCGTAGGGTTAAGGGTTGCAAGGCGTTTATGCAGCTGACTTTTGTCTGCCCTGCGCCACAGCTTAGCTAGCTTTAGCGGCGCGAGTTTTTGGAGCTGGGGCTTTGTGTGGGTTTCGGCTTAGGGTTTCGGGCTTAAACCCTAAACCCTAAAACCTGAACCCTGAACCCTAAAACCCTAAACCCTAAACAATTTAGGGCTTCACTCTCGCACAATGCAGGTTTAGGTGTTTAGGGTTTTTAGTGTCCTGTGTTCACTTCAGGTAGCACCAGTGACCATGTATGGTCTAAACTTGGAGGGCTGGCCTTCCACTCTTCAATCACAGGATTTTGCGGCAAAGGCAGCTAAACCCTAAACCCTAAACCCTAAGCCCTAAGCCCCTAAACCCCTACACCCCTAAACCCCTAAACCCCTAAACCCCTTAACCCCTAAACCCCTCAACCCCTCAACCCCTCAACCCCTCAACCCCTCACCCTTAACCCTCAACTAACCCTCAACCCCAAAACCCTTAAGACCTAAGCAACTGCCCCCTTGTTCAAGCCCGTAGAATCCGGAACTGCCAGGCTCCCGCCACAGGGTTTAGGGGTTTAGGGTTTAGGGTTTAGGGTTTAGGGCCCGAAACCAAAACAAACAAGTCCCAATCAGATGTAGCCGAGTGGCCCCAGTAGATGCCGCGCGGGGTGGCTTTCCTGAAGTTGAGGCTTCTTGGCTTCGGGGGCTTTCCTAAACCCAAGCCTCAACCTTGAACCAAAAGCTCTGTAAACCCAAGCCCTGTAAACCCTGTAAACCCTATAAGCCCTATGAACCCTATGAACCCTATAAACCCTGTACATCCTATGGGCCCTATAAGCCCTATAAACACTATAAACCCTATAAACCCTGAACCCGGATTAACCCTATAAACCCTCTGAACCCTATAAACCCTACCTATCAAGCCTGCAAACCCTATAAACCCTAAACCCACAGACCCTAAACGGACTAACGAGGGGACTCACGCAAGGGACCCTACTTGGAGGTTCATGGGCACTTATACCCCCAGTTATAACTGTACTTGTAAACCCCCTAAGTCCCCTGAGTAGGTTATAAGTAGGCTTAGAACCCTAAACCCTAAACCCGAAACCCTAAACCCTAAACCCTCAACCCTAAACCCTAAGCCCTAAACCCTAAACCCTGAACGTCCGACAAAGGGCTTGAGGTTGACCACTGCTTTGAGGGTCGTGGAATGCTAGGCCCAAACAAAAGAAAAGCCCAACCCTAAACCCTAAACCCCAAACCCCAAACCCTAAACCCTAAACCCTATAACCCTAAACCCGAAGTAGGGTATAGAGTTGGGTCTTGGAGTTTAGGACCTTTAGGGTTTAGGGACGCAGGTGGAAGTGGGTCAAGGATGTGGGTCGAAACGAATGCCAACTTTTTTGGGTTCTGAGATGCTCTCCGAAGTTTTTTTAAGCACACCGGAAAACCTTCTGACAAATGTTCCCACACATCATCCGCTTAAACCCAAGAGGTGAATATCTAAACATATCCCCAGGGCCTTCCTAGACCCTTGGGTTTAGGGTTTAGGGTTTGGGGTCTAGTGCTTGGGGTTCAGGGCACCCCCAAGCCCTTTTTTGAACCCAGCCTCTTGTCCTCATAAGCACTAGTTAACCCCTACAACCCCTAAACCCCCAAACCCTAATGTTGGAGTCCCATTTACAAATGGGGTGGTAATACTAAAATTCGCCGGGCCAGAGGGGTCCAGCCGAAGACTACTTTCCATTACGGGAGGTTTTCGGGCCGATGTATGTAAACAAGTCTATATAGGGGGGTGCGGTGATAATAATAAAGGGTGGTAATTCTAAAATTTTTCTGGCCTGGAATTGAAAATTTTACTGAGAATCGCTTAAGAGTTCCATTGCAGAGAAGACTTTTCAGCTGAGCTGGCTTGAAAGAGCTCCGAGGCTCAGTCTTTAGAGAAGCAGATCTCGTTTGAGAGTGCTTGTCTTCTAAGATTGCTGCAGCTCCAGAGCTGCGAGAAACTGCTGTTTCAGGGCTGTTTCTTCAGAGAAAGCAGGTATCAGGTGTCTTTTGAGATTGCTGCAGCTCCCAGAGGCTGAGAAAGAGAGCCTTGCTACGGAGGCCCCTGCTCTCAGAGCAGCACAGAAGCCGTGAAAGACTTACGGCTGCAGCTCCAGAGCTGCGAGAAACTGCTGTTTCAGGGCTGTTTCTTCAGAGAAAGCAGGTATCAGGTGTCTTTTGAGATTGCTGCAGCTCCCGGGTCCTGGTCTAAGTCTCAAGAGAAGAGTCCCTGAAGCTTAAGACTTCAGCCTTCGTGTCCTGGTCTAAGTCTCGCTTAAGACTTCAGCCTTCGGGTCCTGGAATTCAGGAAACCGGCAAAGGTCTGAAAGCTAGGTTTCCTTACTAAAATCCTTATCCGCCGGAGCTCGAAAACAAGTCCGGCAAGGGTACCCCTTACGGGCCTCCAAAAATGACAATAATAAAGGGTGGCAATAATAAATTCGGCGAGGGAGGGGGGGGAACCAAGAAGCCTTAAGTTTAAATGGCTTCCTGTAATTAAGTCTCAAGACAGGAGTCCCTTAAGATTAAGACTTCAGCCTTCGGGCCCTGGTCTAAGTCTCAAGACAAGAACCCCTGAAGCTTAAGACTTCAGCCTTCGGATCCTGGAATTCAGGAAAACCGCCAGAGATCTGAGAGCAGGGTTTCCTTACCTAGAACCTCTTCAACAGATTGAGCTTCATCTCTCAAGCAAGAAGCACACAGAGAAGCTAAGCTGCCTCCAGACTGGTCTGCTGGGTCTGCTCTGACAGATGACCCCCCCCCAGACCCCCAGACCCCAGACCCCCAGAATTCATTATTGGCACCCCGTCTTTTTTTCCACCCCTCCAAACCCCGGGGACCAAAACAAGATTTGGGGGGGGGGGGGGGTTTATTAAAGGGACCCTAACATTACTGCACTTCGAGGGACCTTAAACCCCTGCCGCCTATGAGTTTTTCGTTGCCCCAAAAACCGCAAAACACCCAACACCCCAAAAGCCAAAGTCTCTAAACCCTAAACCCTGAACCCTAAACCCTAAACCCCTAAGCCCCACTTCACCGAAGGCTCAGCAGGTGCTGCAGCATGCGGATGGCTTCGATGACGCTCTCGGCTCGCTTGGCGTTGAGGAAGCGCGAGCCGTGCCCGGCACCCAGGCCACTCCTCGTGGGGTGGGGTTTGGGGTTTGGGGTTTGGGGTTTGGGGTTTGGGGTTTGGGGTTTGGGGTTTGGGGTTTGGGGTTTGGGGTTTGGGGTTTGGGGTTTGGTGTTTGGGGTTTGGGGTTTGGGTTTGGGGTTTGGGGTTTGGGGTTTGGGGTTTGGGGTTTGGGGTTTGGGGTTTGGGGTTTGGGGTTTGGGGTTTGGGGTTTGGGGTTTAGGGTTTAGGGTTAGGGTTTAGGGTGTAGGCTGCAGGGTTTAGGGTTTAAAGTCTAGGGTCGAGGGGGGTTGAGGGCTTAAAGGGGTTACAGGGGTTTAGGGTGGATAGGGGCTTGATGTCCTACCTACTAGAGTAACCTGTCTACCCTTAAAAAATAGGGTAAGGTGCGTAATTATTGGTCAGGCTTAGGGTTCACATGTTTGGGGAGTTTAGGGTTTAGGTTTTTGGGCTATAAGAGGGCGTTTGCACTTGATGAGGCAGCAAATACTTCATGAGCTGGAACATGCATGCACAGCAACCTTCCATCAACAGCAACACCTGGCAATGTCCACCATAAACCCAAAACGGCAGCTGGATCCTAAACCCCAAGCCCTAAACCCTAAACCCTAAACCCTAACCCTAAACCCTAAACCCTAAACCCTAAACCCTAAACCCTAAACCCTAAACCCTAAACCCAAAACCCCAA